ATTTGTCTTATTTGTCAACATTGTGAATGAATCTGTGGTGCTTAACTAAAAAAGAGGACATACATATAAGAAGGTGTTGGGCATGGGAACGTTTTGTAGTATCTTGTTTGTTGTTTGTGTCTTTTTCCCGCATGAGCCTTGTGCTGTTTCGTAATCTGCCTCCACTTAAACTCTCAGCCTTTAATATCCCAAATCTACTCCTAATGGACACACACACACACACACACACACACACACACACACACACACACACACACACACACACACACACACACACACACACACACAAGACAGACACTCACACAGACCTGTGTTACTTTCTTCAGATGAGCCTGTGTTCTGGGTGGGCTCATCTTTCTATCTTTTCTAATCCCCCCCATGACCCCTGCTCTGACAGACACAGAGCTGGATCACTGCGTCTCTCTGCAGGCACAATGCTCTGACCACTGCAACAACAACTGCGCTCTGCTCAGCCTTAAACTTCAAAACAAGATTTGTCAAAAGATGTAAACCAAGTTTCAGGAGACTTCCAAATAGTTTGTTTCTTGGAAGCTTAATTTATCACGTTGACATTTGAATTATTTATCAACACTTGCGTGCTGCACTTCCTTTGGAATATCCATTTTCTTATTTTTTATTCTGATATTTCCAAACATTGGCATTAGGAATCATTGATGATATTGCATGGTATTTATGTGTGATGATGTAGTGGTGGTTTGCAGGATTGCTTACGATTTGTGTTATCCAAACATTTCAGTGTATTAAGTCTAAAATGCATACGTTAAATAGATGTTTTTAACTATCAAAATATTCTTCTTGAATCTAATATATTGCATTTGGGACAAGTATTTTTTAATAATTAAAAAAATATTCGCTCATTTAATCCGATGCATCACGTGATACAGATAACATGAGGATTTTGTTCAAAGATTGTATTTCTTTTAGGGTGATGATGTCATTAATTATGATGACAGACCTTTTAATCCTCATCTAAAAACCTCAATTGATGCTTTTTACCAAACTGAAACAGTGATCATACAGAAAAGGTGGAAATTGTGCTGGAAGGTGTGATATCGTATTCCTTTTTAAACCGAGGTTGATTGTGAGTGTTGATGCAGTTGGCGTGATAGATGTGTCTTCCACAGGGGGAGTTGATGTCTTATAGCTTTACTGTAAATGTTTACATTCCTAGATGCACTGATGTTATCTGCTAATAGTTTCTGGAACAAGCCTTAAGAGTCCTCTGGGTGGGATTATTTGTGGTGTGTGTGCGTGCGTGTGTGTTTGTGCCTGTGTGTATGTGTGTTTCAGCACAGGTCAGAGGGAAGCAGATCTGTCTTTAAACAGAGGTATTAACCATGACCCCTCTCCTTCCTGAGTCCTGCCCCTGTGTCTGCCGAGGGCTATCGCATTAAGAGCGGCGACGCACACTCCTGCTCGATCCTTTTCACAAAGCCAAATATTCAGCGGTTGTTACAATTGTGTCTGATTGAACAATCAACAACTGGCAGCCACAACTGAATAAGTACCTGGGAAGCCTCTCCCTGTCTCGCTTTCGTGTGAGCACTACATCTCATTCATATTACCCGTCACAGTCTCAGTGCCAAGAGCGCTTATGTTAAGATGATATTGTTTAAACCAACAAGGCCCTTGAGAAAATAATTCCTGTTTCAATAGGCACATCGGAAATGCATGTGTAATTGCTGCTCAGGAGCCCTGTGAGAATTCTCCATCAATAGATCTGGATCTTAAAAGCAAGCCAAACATGGATTAGGTGAGGGCTGTCATTCCTGTCTTGTTCACTTTAACTCAGCCCCACCCTCAACACATTCCTCCCAACTGAGAAATCTGCAACAAAAAGACAACAGCAAATGGACCCGTTTCCATTCACAAGTGGTATTTAAATGTCATGCTTTGTTCAGTGGACGCTGGTGCTAGTGATTGTTCAAAGAGGCAGATGGACATGTTCTCCTGCTCTGCTGTCTGGCTCCTTTTATTCCCTCTCTGCTTTATGGCCCTACTCATGCGGAGGCACACTAAATAAAGCACAGTTCAAAGTGCTTACATACCTGAGCATTACATATTTACACATGCAGTAATGCTTTGAGGCTCAGTGGACTACTGCCTGCAACAGCACACAACTGCTGAGATGAAACTTGGTGTATGACTGTGTTGTGATTGTGTGTTTTTTAATTGTTTGTAACTGTAAAACTGTCTGAAACTGTGCTGTTACCATTCTTGGGCCAGGACTCTCTTGAAAAAGAGATTTTTAAATCTCAATGAGACCTATCCTGGTTAAATAAAGGTAAAATAAAATAAATAAAATGAGGGAAGACGTCTGACAGGGCAAGAAACTCCAGCAGGCAGACAATTATACAGATTTTAAACAAATCCTAATGGTAATCACATGTATGAGAAGAGAAAGGGAAACGTTATAATTATTACTTTTTTAAACTTTCCTTTGTAAACTGCTCTTCCCTAGTGATTACTATACTTTACACTCAAAGGCATAAACACATGTATACATCTGTACATGCATACACTTATATGTACGCACATTTAGTTTAACCTTTAATCTAATGTAAAACAAATGGATGACATGGGTTGAGTTATGATGTGTTGTTGTCTGTTGCCATGCTCCCAGATTTAATCAATTCAATTGGGAATAATTATATCATTACTGCTACAAATAAAGGCTTAAGCACATGAAAACATATACCTCAATTATCTTCCAAATTAAGACTCAAAATTATCTCTTTGTTGTCTCACTCAGTTTTCAGTTACTTGTCTACGGAAATCTACGACATCAATGGGTGCAAGAAAAGAAAGGAAAATCTTATCTAGTCATGGAAGAACGCAGTGACTAGAGCAGCTATTCAACAGCACAATGTGACTAATCAGAGCTCATGTACAATCACATAACGCAGAGCCACAATGCAACACCATGACCTTTTCCGTTGCATCTTAGTCATCTTTTTCTTGAACAGCCAATAATCCTGTGTGTGTGTGTGTGTGTGTGTGTGTGTGTGTGTGTGTGTGTGTGTGTGTGTGTGTGTGTGTGTGTGTGAAAATAATTAGACTTAGTGATGCCCTGGTGATATCCAGTCAGACAGTCTAAAGGAGTGTTATGTGTGTGAGTCCTCCCTCTCAAAAACGTGTTGTATCAACCACTTAGGAGAGTTTGAAGTGGTGTTTTGATATAAGAGATAAATGAGGTTTGGGCTGGTGCCATCGTGTGGCAAAAGGTGACCCTCTCTGCCGAAGCAGCTGGTGGTGGGAAAAGGGAAGTTTAAGTACCTATTTGAATAATTTTGATGTCTTTAATGTATACATTTTGTAATATTTGCTTAGCTTATATAGACATGATACCACTCAATCTCTCTAGTACATCGTTCAGGTTAAGAAATTCACTTTTTATTTTCCTATCAAGTGCAGCCATTGTGTCCATGTCTTTAGGATGCGTGCAATCTTTTCGGGAAAACGTGATTAATGTGAGCTGTCTTGTGGCTGGATGGTGCAACGTCTCCACGGTCTATTGACCCTCTCTGACTCATGCAGTGTACAGTTGAGACTAGGACTCTTAACACACCTAAAAGACTTAACTTAAAAGACACCTTCCTTTAAAAAAACAAAAAACACCTAAAAATCATCTTTATAAGTTATTTAAATGTGGCCGTTTTGTATATTGCTAACATATTCAAAATAAATAGGCTGTTGTCAGCATTTCTTTGCATGGAACCTTTTACGGTACATTATATTTATAATACTGACACTCTCCCAAAGGTCCATAAACCTAATGTAAAGAATGTGTTCTTGAAGGTGTTGAGTTTTATGATCAACAAAGATATCCCATAAATAAAATAGATACCTTCTAAAAGTGTCAGAGTCTCTGCCATGTTTTTAAGGATACTTTCTCTTCTTGGGTTTGTATAAATTCAGGATTCCTTTCTGCTCTGTCTGGTCTCTGAGACTGTAACTGGCTGTCGTTAAGGAGAGGAAGAGCATATAGATCCTATATGGGCCAGGCAGGAGCCATTGCTTTGGATGAGGAGGGGGCAGGCTGATTAAATATATATTTACACAAATATATTTTGTAGATCATTTGCTAATTATTTCAAACGTAACCTCTCTTTAAATCTTCTTGAGTTATTTCACGTCTACTTTTTCTTTTTTACATTGTAAAATAGCTTTAGTCATTCATCTCAATAACGGAGCGAGTGAGTGTTTATCCCCTCAGATAAATTGGACTTTAGTGCAGCTGTGAAACTTAACTCGCACATAAACTCTGAGAAATCCATGTTGTGCATATGGGGCCCACTGTCTTATAATCTGCCTTATTGGTGTTATTTGCCAAATGTTTAAGAATGAATGCTTATTAGGTGAACTTGAATGTAAGATGTATTTGTATTAAATAAAATATTTATATTTGTTTCACTCAAAGTGAAATATTCAGGAGTGTGGAGGAGTATTACATCTTACATTTCAGTGTTCAGTGTTGCAACTCCCTCCCTATCATTGATAATACTTAATTTGGAATTTGTCCTTGAAATAGAAAAAAACGGTCAAAAAAGTTTTATACAACTCATTGCTTTTCTCCTTCTCTCTATGTCCAGCCCTTCTCCATGACAAAAAAAACAAACACAACCCACCCATATTTCAACAGCAATTGTGTCTTTAAATAGATCGAATAATATTAATAAACAAAATAGATGAAAAAAAAATGTGTTTCGTTTTTTTAAAGAACAGATCAGCATTAGTTATCTTTTACATAATTAATTTGCTGTAAATCCTTACAAAAATAATAACCACACTCAACTCTTCCTTTCATATAAAACATTTTTTCACACAGTTATAATTGTATCCATTGACAGAGCTTTGTAATGTCTATACTATATTACTGAAGGCTAACACTTATAGAATATTTTACAATAATAATGATGATTTATTATCATTTAAATTGCCTTGAATAACTGAATAGCTCGAAATAGTCATGCTGTAAGACATTGGCATTTTAGAAACCCTGAAAAACAGGCCAAAATGCTAAATTGGCTTCTAGAAAAAATAACCCAGAAAAAAAAAATATGTACAATCCCAGTCAGTCCAACAATAGCCTGATCCATACAGAAAGCTGCCAACACGTTGAGTGCAGAGACCCTAACTTGTCCAGGTAATGTGTCCTCAGCAATGAACAGCTCAGAACATCCCCCCACAAGACCTGCTCCCCAGGCTCCAGGGATGGCAGTAGTAGTGCAGGCAGGGCTGGTACCGATAGGCCTGCTGGTACAGAGGCACAGTCACTGGGATTTGTAGTCCATTGGCCTGATAGTACTTTTGATTGTCCCTCACCAGCACTTGTACTGCTACTTTCTTCGGTGAGCTGCACGCCGCCAGCTCGGCTGCCATCTGGCGCCGTTTGGTTTTATATCTCCGGTTCTGGAACCAGATCTTCACCTGGGTCTCAGTCAGCTTCAGAGCGTCTGCCAGGCCGGACCGATCTGGACCGGAGAGATATCGCTGCGTGTTGAACCGACGCTCAAGCTCGTAGACCTGTGCGTGAGAGAAGGCCGCCCGGGAGCGCTTCTTCGCACCCGGCATGCACTGCTGCTCATCGGCCGAACATCTCACCGTCTCCCCGCTGAGGTGGCCTCCCTCCTCCGCCTCCTCTTCTTTCAGAAGTTTATCCAGATCCACACAGTGTTGCTGCTGATCGGCAGCGCCTATGACAACGGAGATGACAATAGGTGTGTGTTTCTCTGTCAATATGCTGGTCAAAAGCCTAAAGCCACTAAAGCTGCTGGCTGAGAGGTCCCTTCAAGCTTTCCTCTTCCTCATCCCTTTCACACAACAAATCAGGTATATAATGGAATGGATAATAACCTCTTGGTTGCATTTGATAGCACTGTCCACAGCAACAATACCCATCTCAAACACATATTTGAACGTAAATGTATTAACATTGAATATTCGTAACACACATTTTTTATCGAAAATTTGATAAATGCAAAAACTCATCCACATTTCCTCATAAAGACACATCTGCTGTGAATCAAACCCATATTTTATTTCTTAAATATAGACAAATGGGCCATTGAGGTGAAACAAATTAATCACTATTCAAGGCAAGGTTTTCTTATCTTTTTTCTTTTAAAATGTGCTATAATTTTAACTTCAAGATGCAAATCAGGGCAAGTATAATTTACATTAAAGTAACAAGCGAAATTATCAACAAGTTGTCATTTTAGTTTGAATTTGACACCAGAGCCATAATTGCTTACTAACGGAGAGAATAAAACGGCTCACCTTCTCTGAGTTCAGTCTCCTCTCCTGTGGCTTCTTCTTTGAGAGTAACAGATCGGAGGTTTCCCACAGACAGCCTGCGATCAGCGGGGAGTCTCCCTGGATGGAGGCGGTTCTCATCCGCGTCTTTAGACAGACCGGGGACCCTCGTGCCATGCCCTGTGCAGATGTTGCGCTTTAGTGCGCAGAGCTCATCTGCACTCCTATCGGGCTTCTCCTGGGCATCACGTCCGGTGAGTATGTCTTTTATGGAGAAGGACGAAAAACTCAATGTCATGATTTTAATGAGAGCAGGGATATTTCTTCAGGATCGCATGAGATTTACTTGGAGACATCGAGAGATCAGCCTCTCCAAAAGAAAAGTCCTCACCGATCGATGTTTCTCAGCTCTCAGTAATTGCTCTAATTTAATTGTGGTGAGCTCAGTCCGGAGTCGGACTGCTAATGAACAGACTACACCAGGAGCTGTCAGATCTTTACTATATTCTGGGCAGCAGCAGCAACAGCAGCAGTTAACCTTTGATAGGACAGACTCTACTGGTCCCTCCTCCGAACCGCCCAGCTCCACGCGCTCATGACCACGGACAATCATTTCACAGACGAGGTATTAGTCTTTCTTGAGGTGGAATTTTTAAAAGAACCAAATTAATGATTTAAAAAAAGATTAATGGCTCTTTAGCTACAAGTGAGTTGCGATTAGTCTTACAAATATCAATTATATGAACACTGTAGTAAGAAAATCTGATGCGTAAAGTTCGTTGAGTGTGCGTAAAACGCAGGTTTTCATATGCAAGTGATTATAAACCCTTATACAATTCCACAGCCCATGCCGAATTTATACGAATTATTATATTCCGTAAAACTTGAATCAATCAATCAATGATCAATCAATCAATGTTTATTTATATAGCCCAATATCACAAATGTTACACTTGTCTCAGTGGACTTCACAGTTTGTGACCCTCTTTCTAATTAAAATGGCTAAATAAGGTTCAATCCATCTTTTAATCTCAACAAAATGCAATAATCGTTACTGAGAATCTCAGCATTCTTTTCATTTTTCTTGATAATAATGACTTATACATATGATATTTTTTCATTTGTATTTATACTGTTTTTAAGTTTTAAATTATGTAGTCTGAGTTTCTGAGGGCTGCAACGCCATCAAGCTATAATATATGAAAGCAAATCCCTTAATTTAATATTTTTTATTTGACTAAATAACTGAAAGTGACCTTATAGATATAGTCTGAAGAGAGGACTTTTAGTCATGTTACTCAAACGGGTGAGTGGCGCCACCGTGTGGTCATGATGCATGGTGCCCAAAGTGCTCAAAGTTAAAGAGGCGCTTAAAAACAGAAGATGGCAACTGCACCAGTACACCCCTCCCCTTTCTCTCTTTTTTGCTTACACACACTCGCACTCATGCACAGTCGGCAGGCCTGTCCTTCATGACAGAGACGCAATGACAGATGCACGGATCTGCCTCCTTCGTGTTGTTTGTTTTTGTCCTGTGACTAAACGGAAACAATCTCTCTGTTTGAGTACAAATCAACTCCAGAATGTCACTACACGTCCGGAATGGGACAAATGGAGGCACAATGAACATGTGTTCAAACTACGAGATGATATCCACACCAATCATTTTACTAGGGAAAAGCATATGGGAAAAGCTTGGGGGATTTAGGCCAATAGTAATATTCTTTCTGCAATACACGCTGTTGCAATTGATTATATAGATGTACCTGATCACTTACTCAGGTTTGTAGGCAACATGCCTCTTTAAAAACTGTGTCCAAATATACTCTTATTTTCGACTTCACTTTGCCTTTGTGTTTTGTTCCTTGACGCCCACAACCTGGAAACTTGGAATAAGCATTGAATAATTCTCTTTAGACTAATAGCAATTACTGAACATGTGTTTGCTTTCGATCATTTGAGAAAATTATATCATATTTTTCGCTCGAATATGAACTAATATTTGAATCTTGGTCTGGTGAGTCTGCATCAAGTTGCTTTCACACTTAAGTCAAGCCAATAATTTTACAGTGAACACAGGTGTATTTTTACACTGTGCATGCACCCTCTATACTTAAACCTCTCCAATTTCATATTCAATTTTACCAGAAGCCTTACTCTGAAATTGATGAATAAAGGTCAAATTTGAGATGCATTCACTATAGTCCTGAACAAGGTTTTCCACATCTGATGCCATCTTGGTGACCAGGTTGACACCTAAGAGCCTTTGCTTCTCCACGCACTTTGCCTTCTCTATATTTGGGCTCTTCTTCCTTTGTGAGCTCCTCAAGTGGTTGCCATTGGAGACTTTGTTTTGGGAAACTCCACGCCTTACGCAGCGATGATCGCTGCTATCTTTGGAGGGGAAAGATAGTGATCGCAGCGCCTGTCAGAGCAGCCATGGCCAGGCCGCGTCCTCAGGCTTCGCCGTCCTGTCGCCAGCTTTATTTACACTAGTGACTGTGCAGCACTTAGAGCTGACACCAGGTATGTCCTACCGGCAGTGCAGTAGCCAGGGGAAGTGGCCAGTCAGGCTATCAGAGGAGACAAACACTGTTTACGTTGCCATTCATCTCCATTAATAGTGTCTGCGTATTCGGAGGTGAAGGCGTTTACTTAACTCATCTCCAATTAACACTGAATGTCCTCGAGTGCAGTTAGTGAAAATGTGGGTAATTATTAAAGGATTATGTTATAATATATCATAACAATTACTGCTATGTCATTGAAACAATTTCCTATTATTATGATTAATATTATTATAATAATCATAACAATTGTTGTTGTAAATATAGGCCTGGACGATATTATACATATATGTTGTATGTTTTGTCTTTGTCAGTATCATACATCACCGAAGAGAAAAATTCCCAACACTATTTATCATCCAAAGCTCCGAGTTTATTCGCTGTGTGGGTCCCGATGGCTGTCTGGTTAATGTCCATCTCTGAATCCTGACCGGACATTAGCTCGCCTCTAAATTCTCTCTGTTTCTGGTTCTTGTCTCAAACTAAAGTCTACCCAAGCTTTCTCACAGGAAAAAAAGAGTTTCCTTCGCTTGACAAACGATTGGAGACGATAAGAAACCTCACGTAAATATAGAATAAGATGAACTCGACGTTACTTTAATATTGAGATGCAAGTTGAAATGCAAAGAAATGCTCTTACAGGATCGCAAACGCATTTTCACATAGGCCTACATAATATATATTGTATATCACACACACACACACACACACACACACACACACACACACACACACACACACACACACACACACACACACACACACACACACAATGTCATTATTGGTGATAATGTTCGTCATTGCAGCTTGAGTGTAAACAGACTTTAAGCATCAGGTCACATTGTTCATTTAATTTAGCCAATTTTAGAGTAATAGCCTACAAAGTATTTTGGCCGAAAATAAATCTAACTTTTACGGAAGAAATCACAATAATTTATAAGAATGCTTTCTTTATTTTGTTTTGTTACTTCCCATTGTAAAGCGTCTTTGGGTTTCGTGAAAGGCGCTATAGAAATTGAAATTATTATTATTTTCTTGCAATGATGCGATTGTATTGTTATTTTGGTCCTATTTTAATTAATTACTATGGACTATATACCATATGCATAATACACACATTTGTATGTATTTATTATAATTTTTATAATTTATGTATTATGTATCGCATAATAGGCTACATACAACAATTTGAGCCGAAATCTGCTTTTCTTCTGCAACATACATCCGAAAATCAAATATCCAACAGCAGGTTTAATACTTTTTTATTAATACATTTCTGAGAACAATGTGCATACTGTTTTGGTTTGAATCAGTCAACGAGTTAGGGTTTCCTCACAGGCCTGCCTTTAATTACAGCTGGCCTTTACTTGTGTTGTTGTTACAGAGTTTTAAGTTGTGCTTTCGTTGCATTTGTCGATCTGGTGTAGCCATGCTTTAGTCCATTTATCCATCTCAGAGAAGTCTCTCCCAGCTAAGGGCCCCACGCAAAGATATATGATTTCGGCCCTGATCACCATGCCCGTATGCCCTGCAGAGCTCCCTGGCAGGCTGGGACTCCTGGTCCTTGGGGCGCATGGCTTTGCGTCTGTGCACCAATGTTTCCCAAATTCATGTTCATAAAAGCATTAGCAGGGGTGTTGCTGGGTGGCAGAGCAGGCAAACTCGAATAAGTACAAGAGTAAGTGTTAGTATACAGCGAGTTGTTGTAGCTGTATGCAGGATAGCCATTGTAGCTGTATGGGTTTGGAGCTCCCACTGTGTAAGAAGCGTTATAGTTCTGTGATCCAGTCAGACACGGCCTCCCGTCCCGGACCAGCACCGGCACAGCCACCCTCCTGGGCGGCGGTGGGTGGTGGTGGTGATGGTGATGACCTGCCATCTCCAAACTCTTGTCCTGCCGCTGCCTCTTGCATTTGTACCTCCGGTTCTGGAACCAGATCTTGACCTGGGTGGAGGTGAGTTTCAGAGAGCTGGCCAGGTGCTCTCTCTCCGGGGCGGACAGGTAACGCTGCTGCTTGAAGCGCCGCTCAAGCTCAAACACCTGAGTCTGGGAGAAGAGCACGCGGGGTTTCCTCCTGGTCCTCTGCTGCTTGGTGGCCGGCTTCTCCGAGGCTGGATCCTCACATTCGCCCCGCAACGCCCCGCAGCTCTCTGCGTGGAGAAGAAACGTTTCGATTAACATAACATTTACAACTAAACTAGTAGAGAAATATGTATCAAACACTGCTAGCTCAACTCATATTCCTGACATCCATATGAATTCATGAATTTCTAAATATTATTTTCTTAAAATATGACAGTTATTTCAACAGCATATACATATTTGGTATTTTTTAAATGTAGTTATATTTTTTCATTATTTCACCACAACAAGATTTTAAATATGAATTACAAAATATAAAAAATAATAAAACGATGACTTGATTGGAAATAGCTTTACCGATATTTGTAATCGATCAAATCAATCAAGACCTGCATAAAAGAGGACTCAATGAAAGTAATGTATCCAGGAACAATTACTACGCTAACAAATTTAAATATAATGTATTCTAACATTTATACCGATTTATTTTATTATTTATTACACATAGGCAACATCATTCGCAGCAAATTGTTGCTTATGACTGTATTTATTAGAATTTTTTTGAAAAATACAAATCACTTCAGAATTAAACAACCCCCATCCAATCTGCCATTCGCTTTGGGGGACTGAAGGGTAATGTGTTATATTTGGAAATGTTTACCGCTATCTTACTAGCCTACGCTTTTTATTTATTTTCAAAACATCTTTATCAGGCAACATAGTTAAAAAAAACTATCTTTCTTGCACATTTCCTTCCGTGCATTTTTTCTGTTTCTTGTGGGCCACTACTTGTCCAATATCAAAAATCTATTGCTGAATAATATAGTTGTATTTAATTGAAAAATCTTAAATGCTTGTAAGCTTTATGCACAACGACTAATGGAACAATGGGCGTCCATCGTGCAAGGTGGGGCTCTTGCTTTAAATATGAATGAAACACAAAGAATAAATCATAGGCATATATATTAGCCTACTATTTAATTTAAATATGATTATATATTTTTAGTATAAGCTACAATTTATCCCAAAGCAGAGTTATTATCTTCCCTCGATTAGCATTTTGCGATGGTTTCATTTATTCATGCTTCAAGAAATGATATCCTGTGAGTTCGCAGTCATATTTTCTCCGGCATAGGCTATATCAAAGTCAATTTGTGAGATGCAGGTTTTTTTTTGCAAGAAATGAAACTCCTCTGTCATTTATGTTGCCTACATGCTACCAACAGCTACAAACATATGTCATCACCACCATCCTCAAACTTTTGGATGAACATATTATTATTATTATTATAAGAATTATAACTCACTGCTATCTTGGTCCTCCAGCTCGGTCTCCAGCCGGAGCTCTGCGGAGTGTTTCTGCGCCGGGCTGTCGAACATCTCCCCCGGCAGCCCGGACTCCGGCAGCCGGTCCTGTGAAGCAGGCAGCGTGTTGAGGTACGACATCCTCTCCTCGCTCTCCGAGAGTCCGGAGCTGATGGGACTCGGACTGTCCCTCCCGGCCAACATGCAGGAGGGGGGTGAATGAGAGCGGAAAGGTTTATTTGGGAAAGCTCCCTGCTGTGACAGAGCCCCGGAGAGACCGAAGCAGGAGAAATACTGGAGCTGGTGCTGCTGAGATTGCTGCTGCAACTCTAACTTCAAAATGTCCTTCACGGAGAAAGGCGTGGTAGAAGAAGTTATGAGCGGGCTGGGGAGCATTATTACCACCAACAGAGAGATGACGGGTAACAAATAGTCAACAGGCCCAAAATTGGACTAATTTGTCTCCTGACGGCGCGTAGAAACTGTAAATACCCCGTGCGTACGTTTGAATAATCGTCGCGCACTGCTTGTTTTTCATGCAGATGGAGGAGGGCTGGTTTTCTTTCAGCTGTGACATCCCTCTCTTTTGGCTGTGTGTCTATGTCTGCAGGGCTGGGTGAGAAAGAGAGGTCGATCCTGTTTGGTTGGCTGAATTAGGTTATAGCGAAAGAGCTGGGTCAGCCAAGATGCTGTCCTCTCCCTTTCAGTGACGTGCTGAAGCGGGGGAGGGATGACGATTCTCTCTCTCTCCCCCCTCTCTCTACATACTTTCTGTTTTCCCAGCAGAAAACACTAACACCAATAAGGCATTAGAAAAGCATTTCATGGTGTGCAATGAAAACATTTATATTGGGAAATCCACTGTTTATCCACCAATAGTTTATCCGCTGACTCGAATAGCATGTATTATCTCCTCGCCTCTACTGAATGGACCAACGGCCTCACAGTTCTTCCCATCATCACTACAGTGCTTTTTAGATTAGGCATATCTTCGTTTCCTGTCTGGGCAAACCATGGATAAGATACTCTGCCGTAACTGTGGGAAATGCGATAAAATTGGCAACCCGAAGAGATATGAAGTATATAAATGTAGTGATTTATTTATGTCTACTTAGTATGGGAAAGTTGGATTATTTTCCACCAAAAGTTGGCCACGGTGATGCTTTTTCTTGACAATATGTTCAGCATTTTTGGAAAGAAGCCCATGCGTAAAATATTAGTTAAATTGATGTTAGTCAATTTTAAAGACTAGGCCTACTATCTGCAACATTTTATTTTTCAGTTTATAATGTATTTCAACAATGATAATACAAATAATACCACCTTCTTTATATCATGTTAGAATAAGATGTTCTTTAGATAGCGTTGGACACCAATAAAAGGATTCTCACAATACAGTATTCGAAATGTTGTTTCCTATTAAATAAATTATAAATAGAAACATTTATGTGAATCTTCTCTTGAATGTAGGGCTACCTGTGTGCCAAAGGGCAAACATGCTGTAAGGGGACACCTCTGGTTGCCTATCTGTGGCCAAGTGCAGGCGCCAGGGTCTGAAGGCCCATTGCTCTTAAACCGTGTGGAAAGAAAAGGACGGCATGCCGGCATAATCTCATCCGCTCACCATCAACACGGCGCTGTTTAGATTAGGGCAGGGTCTTCTCCTCTTCTGGGGATCTATGTCTTTTTAAAATGCTCCTTTTAAGTGGAAAAGCATTAGGTCTGTGGAGAAAATAGGCGTCAGTGTACACAAGGCTGTCTATAGGCCTACTCCAGTGTGCTCTCGGGAAACAATAACATTACTTTGGATGCTAATTGAGTGTGCGCTTGGGAAACCGTGAAACAGCCTATAGGCTACATTATAGTATTTCCTGAGATTTATAAGGACACATAATGACAATTTTTCCCAATATCAAAAGTGATTTTTTTGCGAGTTAGGCTATGAGGATTTAAGAGGAATATATTTGCACGTAAAATACCCTAAAATGCGGCCATTGTGTTTCCCAATCCCAAATATTAACATTTATTGAGTGCAATAATTAAAAGAGACAACAGACCAAATACAGGAACCAATGCCATACGATTAATTATCAGCTGATAAATAACAGGCTGGTTAAATAGGATTAACGCGTAGGTCTACAGTGTCTAACGATATCATGCTATTAAGAGAAATGATTTCTTACAGTCCGCTGAACCATGTGAGTTTAGAGCGTCAACGGTCAGAGACGTGGGCTCCAATGGCACAATTACCTTTTTAACGCGTGCGCGCGCTCAAACTCGCGAGTCCTTAACTGACCATCAGTGGTTTTCGCGTGCCACCGACCGCCCTAAAAGTGGCCGAGCGTGTTTACGGAGCGGAAGAGTCTGTTTCCTGCCTGTAACAAAACCCAGACTCCCAGAGAGTGTCAAGGAGATGCTCGGCTGCTGAATGCAAGACCCCATATATCATCTTCATCTCAGAATCATCGTGATAAACCGGGTTAGGTCAAGCCTGCAGCATGCAGGTCAGCATGGATACACCACAGGGGTCCTAATAGACACAAAAACAAAAATAAGCTATACAAACGATTTTTTTTAACATTTGCAGCAATTTAAATTCACTCACAATTCAAGTTCTGGAGAATTCTTTGAAGTTGATGGCTTGCCATGCAGGGGTGAACATGTTTCTTCTTGTCCTCCCTTCCCTCCATTGGCAGAGTGGCAGGTGTATATCACTGGTTGCAGGCCAACAACACTGATTCACTTGGAGATGTAGGGTTGAACGTTCAAAACAGATCCCTGAACACTGAAGGAAAGTTTGATGACTTGGTAATGACTTCAATTATCTTCCCCCTGTAGCCTCTACTTCTGTAAAGCCGAAAGGCGTTCGATATCTGATGGTTTTACCGCAGTGGTAAACTCTACGTAAAGAAAGCTTCAACACCTCCAGCGTCTGTGCTCACACGCGTGTGCGTACTGAAAGAAAATGTGTGTTATTATGACTTGACAGAGCTCTGTAGAGGAGCACTTAACATCTTTCTACAAAGGAGCTAGTTGTTTACAGGTGGTACTGCTCTAACAGCCTGGATGTGTGATGAGGAACTGAAGTATGACTATCCATTTGTCTCACAAAAGCTAGATCTTTACATTAGGAGAAATGGATTAGCTCAAGTGTGTCTATCATTTGTTTTCCATGTTGTTTAGTGAAGCAGCTCCCCAGCATTCTGTATCAGGAAACAGCGTGGCAAAATGGAAGACACAAGACCATAAAGGACCTTGAAAATATAGAAGAAAGCACAATTAAATACATAATGTGGCTAATGATGGACTTTCCTTTTTATTTCATGGTCATCCGTAAGAATGGCGTAGCACCAAGCCAAACCAAACTGTTGTGTGTCAGTAATGGTTAAGCTCTCCGGTCCCGGAAGGTGAGTCTTATCAGCAGCCCATGTGATGGTGTCAGTAGCCAGGATCCAGACTGCTATTGTGCCCCTGCCTCGGTCCGAGTGACGGATGACAGGGCCTTCTCCCTGGAGGAAGTGAGGAGGCCAGAGGCGAGCCTGGGGCCAGAGTTTTAAGCAAAACCCACTCACCTTGGAAAGTGTTAACTATTCCACAACGGCAGGCCTAAGGTGCTAACTAACTTGCAGGTTGCACCAGTCCCTCAGGGCTCATTGTGTTAACCAGGTCAGGGGAAAATATACTAATTAGTTTGTTTGAAAGACGGTGAGTGGGTGATGTGTTTGAGGACCAATGCCCTGTTCTGTGTATCGAAAGGTCTAACTTGAAGACCATGAAATGAGGAAGTGAGGTCAGGCCAGTCTGGGTCCCCTGCCCTTTGCCTTCCCTTGGGTCTCATAAATTAGCCCGCTGTAATTCTCTCCCAGACGGCCTTGCCCCAACAGGTGTGTGTTTGTATATATGAGCACTAACAGGGGGATGTAAGCGCTGTAATGTCTGTGATCTACGGTGTTGGGAATGTAGTTTGGGAGGAAACATGCAATCTAAATATGCTTATCCTCTCTGCAGCCACACAGGCCATGTAGCCTACAGTAGATAAAGACCCTGCAGGCTTTTACTGAATAGGATGTGTGGACCTTGAATGTTCCTTAGCTTCTGTCCTATTTGGCATTGGGAAAAGTATCACATATCAAAAGGTTGAATCAAGTTCATCTTTGCTCTAAGTAACTCCGGCAGTAATGGCTCTCTTGGGAAAAACAATGTTGCTGTAGTTTGAAGAAGTATGCATGCATCACGGCCTCAAGCGGTAAACATTCTTGAAATAAAATGCTCTGGTTCTCCAGAAAACATGATGGTATCTTCATCAAAGTGACAGTTTGTTTTAGCAAAACTCAAACCCCTCATGAATAAAGTTCATTTTTTATAAATAATTACCGTTCAGGCATGTAGTTTCATTATCTGTAAATGGGAGAATTAAATCCCCAACGATGAGCTTCCCATGTGGATAAATACAAATATCATTCTTCATTTTCGATAATGATATAGTCAGGTTTTTTTTAAATTGCATTTTCTTTTTGTGGCTTTATGCAACAGAAAATAATCACTCGGAGTAATCAATCAGACAAAACTCTTCCACTTCCTGTCTTTGTTTCTTTGCATGCATATTTGTATGAGGCTGAGGTCTGGAAAGCCTGAGTTGGCCAAAAGACAACATCAATCAATTAAAAAGGCTCACTGTAGACCTTCGGTTCCACCCAGCCTTATAGGGTAAAGGCCAAATCTGTGAAAAACACGAGTAACATGCATATTAGCTGATCTTCACAAAATAACGATCAATTTCAATCATTTGATCAAACATTTATTTTAAAAAAGTGACACATGAATTAGGTTTATGGTTTTAAACTAATTGTTGGATATTTTGCAAATAATCAAATTAATTTGCTTGAAAATGAATACTCATGTCCATGCATTAAATGTAAGGCCGCAACCTGTACATGCCAGCAACAAGTTTAGCTTTAGCTCAAAGACTGAATACAAAGGGGTGCAGCTAACACAGGAAAAACAAACTCCGCTTATCATCTCTGAGTCTCACAGATTAACATATTAACCACTGGTAGCACCGAAACATATCTTTAGAGATGTTGGATGTTGTTACCTCCAGGCAGAGCCACGCATCTCTCTTCCCATCTTCAGTGTGTGTGCTAAGCTAAACTAACCAGCTACTGGATGTAGCTCCATTGTACAGATAAGAGAGTGGTATCAATCGCTACTGCCATGTTTTCCCAGCTGTGGAAAGTAACCATTGTAACTGTGAAATGTATCTGTTTGAAGGGTAAAATTGCGAACTGCTCATATTCAGAAACCGGTAAATTGCCAAGTCTGTTCTCAGATAAAAATAATTTGCATTGGTGAATTGGTGCATAACATAAACAAAGTAAAATAAACTCAAATTGAATATGAAATAACTAGAAACATAAACATTTAATAAAAGAGAAATACAAAAAAATATGAAAACATGGTATAAAGAATATGTACAAGAAACCAAACGTTAAAATCATAATAAGAAAGAAAAAACCTCAATAAATACTTAACTTAAATTTGTATCTGAAAGTGTATTGCAATGATAGTAATGTGATTGTATTTACTTTCAATTGAATTACATTTAAATACAATCATTCCTTTTACAGAGTGAAGTACATTTTTGCACAAAAAATAAACAGATTTCATTTCATAAGATGGAGCACACACGTACAAGACATGTACACACACACAAACACATCAGTTGGAATGTTGTCAGACGTACAGAGCACTGATCTGTCTGTTGTTGCATGCATGCTCCATCAGTCATTGGGCTACACAGGGAGGTCCTGTGCTCTTTGTTGTTGCTGTGTCTAGTCCCTTGTTAGAGAATTGATGACACTGTCTTTGGAAAACAAACAAGGCGGGAAGCTAAAAAGGTGGTCACTCACCACAGCTCTCTGACCCAGAGACACAGAGTCCACCTCAACATGCGAGCATGCAGCGTCCCCCTTGGAATGTGCTGCAGTGTGTGTGCACACGCTCCTGTTGGTGTTTCACTGATACCATGGCTGGAATGTGACTGTCTTGTGCCTGAATGTGTGCCTTTGTGTGTTTTAGTGTCAGCGTCCTTTAGTAACAATGGTAACCTGCGTGCAAAAAGGAAAACACTGCGATAAAAGACACTTTGTTGGCACTACCTTTTTTTTTTGTCATATTTGCATTGCGTTTCTGCATGCCAAAATAAATGTTCCACATATCAATGTCAGGGAAATGCTGAGAAGCTGCCTCTGAATGTTTGGCTGAATAACTCTCATTGATCTGGATGTGACACTCTCTCCCTGTGGGCACTGACTTGCCAGAGGCGGCTGCTGTCACTTCTGGCTCTGACTCACACTTCACATCACAGCAGACCGAGGTCCCGGGGCCTCCCCAGTACGTACACACCAAACCCTGCCCTGGGCCCCGAGCCTTCTTCTGGGAGCTCAAATCCCATAATTGCAGGGCTGACAGTGATAGCTAACATACAAGACACCCTCACCTGGTCGTAAAGAATGAAAACATCTACTGTCAAAGTGAAGCGAGGAGAGAGTGGGGGTGCAGGGTATGGGGAAAGTGAGTAACCTCTGGGGGAAAACATGAGGGCAAAATAATAACTGAGTGTTCAGTGATAAACCAATGGATTAAATGCACCACTGGTTTCAGAACAGATTCTTCATTGATAGTAAATAAATAGTTTATACATGGTCTATGAATAAAAAGTTTGCGGATGTGGGTTTACCACATTGTGCAAATACATTCATATTTATTTTTTGAAAGCATTTTTGTTTTAGCTTGCTCTTTGATTCATTAGGGAAACCACTAGTTTCTTTAATTATTGGCAACTTTATGGCAAAAATGGCAAAATATCAAGCCTAACTGATTCTCAACCCTTAATAGTGTACTGAGCTATAAATAGTTCAAGATTTATTAACTCATACAAAAATTGTGTTTAAAATAGTATTCTTTTTTTGGCCATTTTGGTGCACTGGAACAAGATGTAGTTAGTATATAATCACTATGTAATTGTAAACGTCGCCTATTTAAATGTAGCAAGATAAGCACTTGTTACAATGTGTGTTTTCCGCTCCTCTGAGGACTGTGAATCCCATTGTGACTCTCTTTAGCTCTTTTGGTGTCCACCAACTACAATGATAAACCATCTGCCCCTTTAGCTGTTTAATGCTCAATCTGTTTCTTTCCACTTTGACATTGCCACACTGTACTGCATTGATGACATACTCAACAAGAGCTGTAAGCTAACATTTTAGCTGGTAGAAGTTGAAGTCATTTGACTAATTCATGTTTTGTTCAGTACTTCAATCTAAGAAGATAGTACTGTCTTTTTGTGTTCCACCATCACTGACTCTCTATATATATACACAAGCTAGGTAAAACAATGCAGCAGCCCCTTCTTTCTCAGACAGAAACATTAAAAGACAGCACACGGGCCTCAGAACAGGCTGAGTCCTGCCTCCAGAAAAGCCAAAAAGCTTTCCAACGAACTCAGTCCTGGTCGGGGAGAGCTGGCTGGAGTGGCCCTCGTTTATCAAGCACTCAGCTCCTGCAGACAGAGCACAGAGGAGCCAGCGTGTTTACACCACAGCTCAGCAAGGCCCTCAGGACTGAACAGATGAAGATGCTCACACATACTCATTTACACATCCTCACACGCACTTACTCAAACTGTGTCGAGCCCGAGCATTCAGCTGTCTTTTCAGCAAGGAATCAAATTGACATTTATGATGGGGTGCACTGATATCTTGTCTTGTCTATTTTTACTACACATTGAAGACATTACTATAGAAAAAAACTACACTATCAGTGATTGTTGTCAGTGCCAGGTGATAACATCTTTATCGAGGCTGCTGCACCATCTTGTGGATATTCTTTGTATTGCAGTACAATCCTGAACCACCCACTTCCAACACTGGACGGTATAGGGCATGGTATAGTGATGTTACAGAGTCATTCATTGGTCAACAGCCCCTGTACGTGTGTTTTCTCGAACTTTGACCTGACAGAGATCAGTGCTGTGATTGGTTTGGCAGACGCATCTTGTTTTCTATTGGTTAATCCGCTCACGCCCAATTTACATCCTCCCATATCCAATTTGAAGGTGAAGTCCTCTGCCGTCCCGTTACATTTCACGGTAACCGTTTGTTTTGTTGTCGCCCCAGTCTCTCGGTAAAATACAGCAGCATGTCGGTGTTTGGTGAGGTCGCTTTAGCAGCCCCTGTAGCTGTCTTCAAGCTATCACAGGATTTCAACAACGACCAATTTCCCAACAAGGTGAATCTTGGAGTAGGAGGTAAGTTATTATGTAACTATACTTCTATAAAACAGTGACATCGTTTGCCATAACTATCTCCAGCCGGTTAATGTAAGGTGGTGATAGGAGGAATCAGGAATAACAACCATTCTATGACCTGTTTATTATATCCATGTTTATATGATGGTGGCCACACTGTATTTTGATCAAAGTTGCTAAATAATGATGCCTGTATGGTTTTAAAATAGTGACACACATTCTAAAAGCTGTTACTATTCCAAAACTGTGACTCTCTAATACAGTATCGGAAAAAGGTTTATTCATTTTAAATATAGATTATATAATAGATGTATTGCTCTGACGGCATACATTATGTATACAGTGGCGTAAAGTAAGTGCATTTACTCAAGTACTGTACTTAAGTATAATTTGGAGGTACTTGTAGGCTAGTGGAGTATGTTACTACCCCTACCCCACTACAATTCAGAGGTAAATAGTGTACTTTCACTCCACTACATTGATTTGATAGTTATATAGCTCCCCTGCAGATTTTTTATTTTGTATGCAAAGTATAAATCAACTAATACATTATGATGAATTTGAGGTTATTCTACCCAGCAGTATACATAGTAATTCAATTTAGCTTCATCTTTACTGACTACAATATTAAATGAATGTACTTCATCGTAGTGTCTCTAAAATGTCTGTTTCGGTGTGACATTACGGCCATGGGAGAAATTATAATGACATTATGTAATCTTTTATTTTTACTGTCACTGGTTTTTGGAGATAACTTGTGAATCAGAGTGAATACAAGTTACAACTGATTGACAATGTTAGACCATGTTAGCTGCTGTTCAGTCATTCTACTCTAACTATGCTGAAAGCAGCTTTATTGATAATGTATCCTTGTTATGTAAAAGTGTGACATAGTGGAATCATTTGTGCCTGTCCTCTTTGGTTTCCTCTTTGCTTTTCGATCTTGCTGCAGCTCTGATTGGATTACTGTTCCCTGTTGCTAGCTACTCGCATGAGTTTAAATATCTATGGCTTAGTCCTGCTTCTCTCCTGAAGCAAACAAATGGCACATTTTAGACTTCACTGTTTTCAGTGTTAATCTTATTAAAAGCAGTAATCCTTGCTGCTTACATTGCTAAGGACAAGTGTGAGAAGCATTGTTTGGCTCTGTTCTGGCAGTGTGTAATGTGTTCTGCAGGACGAGGCTGCCTGAGTCCTGTGATTAGGACCGGAGGCTGAGGCCTTATAATCCCCTCTCTATGTAACACACAGATGGTCATCCGCTACTGGGCAGCTGGGAAATGTAGGCCACACTATGTTTAGTGTGTTAAACGTCAGTAGACCTGAAACAAGTATTACATTAATTGATCAATTCAATGATGGAAAAGGAAATCTGCAATCTTTTTATTAGATAACATTAGATACACTTTTTTTTATCCCAAATTGGAAGTTGTTTAGATAATCCAAAATAATATACCAATTGCATAGGTAATTATTATTATTATTATGACATTTAAAAAAAAAAGGTGAGGATTTGCTTCCTCTTCTTATAATAAACTAAATATATCTGGGTTAATGAAGACGTTAAATTAGATTTCAGAAACTCTATGATCTGCATTTTCTTGCATTTAATAGACCAAATAAACATGCCTTTCATGCCAGTGGGAGAAAAAAAAAAAAAAAATCCCATATGATGATATTAAGCCTGACACTTGTTTTTGAGTTGCAAAGCAAGTTGAAGATCTCTGTTCTGAAGATAACAAGGCTAATGTATAGTTCAGTCCTTATCAGGTGTTGACATGGAGTTCAGCTCACTAAAGCAAACAGAGAGATGAAAGTGTCCAGGGTCAGTGTTACATTCTTGTTATTTGAGCCAGGAAGATTGTCCTGCCTCAAACTCATTATTGTTCCTATCTAAAATCTTTAGGCAATACATCAAGGCCTCACTGTTTTCTTTCTTGCAGCCTACCGGACAGACGAGGGAAAACCATGGGTTTTGCCGGTGGTGAAAAAGGTTGAAAAGGTTATTGTGCACGATGACAGTCTTAACCATGAGTACCTGCCCATCCTGGGCCTGCCTGAATTCAGATCCTCAGCCTCTAAGATCGCACTGGGAGAAGACAGTCCTGCCATCCAGGAGAACAGGGTTTGTATAGAGAAAGGCGCACTATCTTTATTTTAAATATATGTACGTATAAACTGACTGTCTGTTTCTTTTTGCCAGGTTGGGGCTGTCCAGTGTCTGGGTGGTACAGGGGCTCTGAGGATGGGTGCAGAATTTCTCAGGCGTTTCTACAATGGAAACAACAACACCAAAACACCCGTCTATGTGTCCTCACCTACCTGGGGTATGCACGCACACACGCACACACACACACACACACACACACACACACACACACACACACACACACACACACACACACACACACACACACACACACACACTATCAAACAGTGGAGTGTCTTATCAGTGATCTTGTTTAGTTTTCAGTTCCTCTGTGAAACTATTTTTTATTAACATATAAACAATACAAATAGAACACTGGTGAAATAGTTTTTTCTCTCCATTTCAGAAAATCACAATGCTGTTTTTGCCAATGCTGGCTTTGATGATGTCCGTCCATACAAGTACTGGGATGCAGCAAATAGGGGCCTTGATTTGGCTGGTTTCCTTGGAGACCTGGAGGTGAGCAATGTGCAAAAAGATTTCTTGTTCTATTTCAGTTCAGCCATGAGTCATTTTATTAGGAGTTTAAATCACTTCTTCTTATTTCCCACAGAGTTGTCCAGCACACTCTATCTTTGTCCTGCATGCCTGTGCGCACAACCCAACTGGCACAGACCCGACACAGGAGCAATGGCAGCTGATCGCAGAAGTTATGATGGTATTATACACACACACACAAACACACACGCAACCAATACTGTGTCTCTACTGCTGTCTTAACCTCCTTTTTGTACACGTTTGTCGATGCTGAACATTCATTACAGTATGATAATTGTTTGACCTTCTTTCTTTCCAGAGGAGGCAGCTGTTTGTGTTCTTCGACTCGGCTTATCAGGGTTTCGCCTCAGGCAATCTGGATAAAGATGCCTGGGCGGTCCGCTACTTTGTCTCCATGGGCTTTGAAATGTTCTGCGCTCAGTCTTTCTCCAAGAACTTTGGCCTCTACAGTGAGTGACCCCTGTGTGCATTAAGTTTTCCATTGCTTGCTTTCAAGAGAGCGATAAAGAGTGATAGTCTTTGTGCTGTTACTAATCACAATAACAGTCACAAAGTGCTTTACATGGCAACATGTTTACAGTGTAATTAAGGATAAGAGCCCAATTTAGATTGTGTTATCATACCCCACAGCTCTCTTACTTTCAAACATGACAAACTATTGTACATGATCGACACAGCTTAATGTTCTCATTTACTATGACAAAAGCACAGTGGATGTTGTCAATGTTGAAAGTTATAGAAACAAGGGGGGTGGGTTTAAGTTATATAAGTATCAAATTGCTTACCTTTTAAGATTCTTAATCAATTTGCAGGTTTAAAAAAAACAAAAAAAAACAATTTTAATCATTTGCCTCTAACTTTACACCAAGTCAATGTTGTGTGTTGTTGCAGTTAGTTCTATAGGAGTCTGCAAAGTGGACTTGTTGAGGAAATCCTGAAATTCGCAACCCTATGTAATTAATTGAGAATCATTTAGAAATCAAATTGTGACCCCAAGAATCACGATCAAATTCTGAGATTTCAAAAGATGTGTGACATTTATGTGCAAACAGATGAGCGTGTGGGCAACCTGACCATCGTTGCTCGTGATGCAGACAACCTGAAGCGAGTGCTGTCCCAGATGGAGAAGATTGTGAGGACCACCTGGTCCAACCCACCCTCTCAGGGGGCTCGCATTGTTGCCGTCACTCTTACCTCACCTGAGCTCTTCAGTGAATGGTCCGTACAAAATACCAAAGCACTGTATCAGGTATAACGGTTATAAACTAATGTATTATTTTGATATAGAGTTGTTTTTTTACATTTGTTTGAGTGTAGGAAGGACAATGTGAAGACCATGGCTGACAGGGTCCTGTTGATGAGGGCTCAGCTGAAAGCTAAGCTCCAAGCTCTGGGGACAGCAGGCACCTGGGACCACATCACAGAGCAGATCGGCATGTTCAGCTTCACAGGCCTCAACCGTGAGTAAACATTGTTTCAGTTCGGAAAATGTTAAGATAACACTTTTATCATCGGGTACATAAAAAAACAACATGTAGAGTGACCAAACTTATCCCGATTGTATCTCCTTTTTGCAAAACTCAAAAGAGCTTGCATTATATCATTATTTTGATTAACACACATATCTTTACAGGCTCTGCAAAGTGTCACATTATTAATCAATGAATAATTAAATGTGGTTATTTCCTGCAGCCAAACAAGTGGAGTACATGGTGAAAGATAGACACATCTACCTGATGGCCAGTGGGCGCATCAACATGTGCGGTTTGACCTCCAAGAACATAGACTACGTGGCAGAGTCCATCCATGAGACTGTCACCAATGTCCAGTAAAAGACTACACTACCCACAGTTCTTAGTACTTCCTCCATTCCGACCTCAAGTCACCTGATTACAGCGAAAATATTTACTGTCTACCTGATTTCTTAGGGCGATCATACATTCTCATTTGCACAAATATACAGACAGCCCTCACCTTTCTATAGTGTTTGTGCTAAGCTATCTCAACACACAATTGGGACTTATTCTGTTAATTATTTGTCCACTAGTTGTCTTTATGTTGGTCTCCTACTTATAATAAGTCTGTCAGTGTATGTGTCAACACTCAGGACCTTTTGAAAAGGTTGGTACATCTGTGACTGTGTGACAATTATCTCAGCAGTGCTGACTCAGCTTCTTGTTTAATGTCATACTGCTATGATTCATTCATTCCAAGTGTTGATAACGCATTTCCAATTTTATTTAACCTGCCGTTATTAGCCTGTGTGATTACAGTTAAGAGCACCTACCAAACTGACTAAATGTAGCTTCAATTAGACAAACAAATTATAGTAAATTACATTACATGTTACTTGTTAGACGCTTTTATCCAAAGCGACTTACATACTCAATACTGTGGACAATCCCCACAGGAGCAATTTGGGGTGAAGTGTCTTGGCCAAGGACACAACGACATGCTGACTGCAGTGGGGTTTGAACCTGTGAGGCTCAAACCCCCTAAATGTATTTATGTTCTCTATCATGAGTGAAGAGGTACGTTTAATGATAGATGCAACATGAACAAGAGAAGAGTGTTCTCAGGAAGATATCTTGAGCAATGTAATTTATTAATTCAACTGTACATCGCCGAAAGGGGTTGTACTAATTACCTAAATTATAATCCGTATTTTTGAAGGGTTTTATTTGTAGTTTCTGCTCAGTTAGCACAATGGCACTGAATGATCTTAACAGGTTTTGAGAGTCATCCCTGGTTTGGGCTCACAGCTGAAGGTTTTGAGGCTTCTGGTTAAATCAGGCACCTGCAGGTTTAATGTTGAGTTTGTACAGCGACTGCCTGTTTGTATCAATAGTGCACTGTTATGTAAGACCCTCATGTCAGTGGCATAAAACACACTAATGATCAACCAGTTTGCTATCGTACCACTGTGCACAGTACAGCAATAAAGCAGTCCTACTGTTTAGCAATTGAAGCAAAACATCTCCTTACATACTTTCCAATGAGATGAATGAGTTAATCTAATAAAGAACTATAACTATTATGTTTGTTTTGTCACATATGTTGGAATTGATTTAATGATAATGTTTGTATAAATGCAACGGCTTTTAGAAACTCATGTGAGAGGTCTTAGAAAAATCGAATGCAGGTAACACACTCCATATTTGAAAACAAAGAAGAGTACACAAGAATAATATTTCAGTCCATTTATTAATAATTTGAAATCCCTTTTGTCGAACATTATGGTATGTCTTCTCATGTATTTTGGTCACTTATATAATTATCAGATTTTTGCATTAGAAAATGTATTTTTGCCTTTTTTTAAGTAAAGTATATAATTCTTCACAAATATAAATCAGTGTTAAACAACTGCAAAATCTCTGTGAGCATTCAGCTGAGACACTTTCTGATTCACAAAAATCCTCTTTCACTGAGTCAGTCTGTCGGATCATATGACTTCCAATTGGATGTTCAATGTGCAAAGAGGGGTCGATGTGAATAGCTTAGCAGTGCAGTTCCCTTTGTACTCATAAAGCCTTGTGTGTGTGTCAGTGTGTTTGACGGGAGGTGGTGGCTTGACGTCAGTGTGCGTCATATTGCTTTCCTCTTTCATATCTCTGTCTTGTTCTTGTGTACCTGCCAATATTTCACAACGCAGAGCAGCTTAGTGCACTCTGAGCTGCAGCTGCTACTGGCATTTTGAAAAGGATCAAATCATTATTTCATTATTGCAGTAAAAATGGCTTGATTTTTGTTCCTTCAACAAGCAGCGTTGTATGGTTTCCCCCATTAAAACGGCAGACTTGCTGCAGTATTTATTGCACCTAACTTTTTTTCTCAACTTTTGTAGTTAAAACTTCTATTATCTCAAAGATTTTAGTAAGTTACACACTGCACCTTTGTGGGGAAATATTACTGCAGATCTTCCTTTGCATGCATCCCTTTGCTTAAGCATGCATATGGAAAAACAGGGCTTTCTACAGGGGATAGTTCTACAGTAAAAGCAGCATTAACAAACATGCAGGTAGCAACTAGTCTTTCCTCGAGAATACTCATAACATCCATTTGGATCCCTAAACGCAAACCCCCCTACCCCTAGCTTATTTTTAATTGGTGTATGCTGTTAAAGTGAGATGAACTGTACATAGAGGCTTGGCTAATGGTAACTAATGGTAAGAGTTGATCGCCACTACTTGTTCTGAATGCAAGAAACAATAGGCTGATTATTTGAAAGACGGTGGTTACAGTACATCTAGAGAAAAGTGGGCTTAGTAAGGATGATAAAGACATTGTGTCCATACACTTATGCAGTGAGAAGGGAACGTTTTAATGGGAGGACAGACACTACAGTATGTAGGGCACATGCAATAATGTGTGATGTTGAAGCCATTTACAGTATGTTAGATGACTTATATATATATTGCTATCCTCCAATTACTTTTGGTAATTCTAAAACTTTTTATATAAAAATCGGGTAATAAATGGTTTTATTTCAAGCTCAGGTCTTTTTCAAAATTGCGCATACCCCTTTGAACTTGCTCAGAGGTCAGTGTATACAATAATTCAAGCCAATTTATGGCTTTTTTCATAATTGTGTTCTTAAAATCTGGCATAAAAATTGTGCTCTTGTCTTGTGGCTGTTTCTTCATAGCCGATGGCTAGTGTGTCTGGTATTGTTGGCAGTATGTGGCACCCTTATGGCAACATTAGGAAAGTTCCCTGTGCAAACAACTTTATCAGTATGTGGGAACTTCCCAATAATAAATAAATAATAAAAACTCTTGTATTCATTGTTTGATCAAGTAAAGCTGGCTCAGATATTACATTAGGACCTTGTGAGGCTCCATATTGAGAGATCTGGTGGAGACCATATTGCTTAAATGAGATGATAAAATGGTCACATTATGGGTAAAGCTACCATAGAAATATCTTCTCGGTTTACTACTTGAAAACCTTGATAAAGTCCAGTGTAAGGCTGGAAAAATCCAATACTATATTTCTTCGATTTTTCCAAAAGTAATATTATATTAAAGTTTCTTTTTACAGATCTGTTCCACTTATTATAATTTTAAGGGTGTGGAGTCAGGCAGTGGTAGGACTAGGTGCGAGTGAGGTCCTGAGTGTTTCTACATCTCATGAGATGGCTCAGTTATTCAGGAGCACAGAGGGAGTCTATGAGAGGTTGGTTGTTCAGTAATGAAAACCCAATGAGTGAGTGATAAAGAGGAAGAAGCTTCATCCCTCTTCCTCAGCGTCACTGTGCTAGCTCGTCACTGGTGGTTGCTCTGAACCTTCCTCCAAACAGTTTTCTCCATCCCGAGACTTTTTCCTCCTCTTGTTACCTAGAAACAGGAGGAACCAAGGTCATTGCTTGATAAAACACCTTCCTTTAACTGTAGCTTCATCCATTATATCTTACTTTCCTTATCTTTACATTTGCTATTCATTGATTGTTTTGAAACAAACTCATATTTGCCGTTAACTTAAATAACGTCAGCTGCATCAGGCAGCGCAGATACTGTCTTGATGAGTCATATCTAGACCAACAGATGCCTCCGGAGAATCTGCTCTGCTAAAAAAGGTTGGAGCGAGGGACACGACACATCACCTGTTGCTAAGATACACCACTTTGTCTGAAAGAGAAGTTTGGGCACATCTGACGGTGAGCGTGTGTGTGGGTGTGTGCTCTTCCATCGATGTAGGTGACAAACATCTTACTCACTCAATTTACGCAATAGCTTCTTCCCAATGTTCTCTTCCGAGCTGGACAGAGACAGAGAGCTGATGAAGGGAGAGGCAAAGGGCGGGGAGTCTGTAGGCACGTCTGAAAGAGAGGATGAGGATACAGCAGGAATGACAGACAGAGCAGATTGACTTGAACAATTCCCCAGACCTACAAGGATATGAACAGTTTACAGCCTAGACGTTAAAATATAAAAACTGCATTGTTAGGAAAACTGGTTTAGAGTAAGTAGACTGTGATAACAAGGAGGAAACGCCTCCTTCTGTCATAAAACCATTGAAATCTGACATGCTAAAATTAAGTGTAGTAGTGAAGAAGAAGTACGGGAAGTAGTCATAAACTCAGCAATGTGACTCTGTAATGTGTGTTACACAGAAATACATCTAAAGTTGATATAATGTAGTATAATATTACCTTGCATAAGCAAATATAATTAAATAATTAAAGCTGTAGCAGCTAATGAGAAAAAATGTGTTGCATGTGGATAAAAATTTAATTTGGAAAAGGGAGAAGGTGCTATATCTTCATTAGAATGTTTCAGAATTATTTTATGAGGCTAAATTGCACTGCCTTAAAGGGATATTTCCCTATTTCTCATTAAAAATGAGTAACGAATTGTCTATGCAACTTTTTTTAACCGTTTCAGTCAATGTAATATCTCTATAGGCCTGCCTATGATTAAAATACAAAAATAAAAACGTGTGTATTTTTGAAAAGGAACCAGCTACGCGTCATTTTTGAGTTTTAACTGAGACTGAAGAGATTCAGTTTTCTGAGCTTGCCTCCTCCAGGTCAGGATCCATGCAGCAGCACTCACCATTCTCTCCATACGTTTCCGGCCGATCCTCGTGAATATAGGGAATCTCGTCCAAACGGAGGAACACGGTATCATTTGGACTCCTCTGCCCGTCAGATTTGCTGCCTGTAAAGAGAATTGGACCAATCAACCTTCAACGTACTACAGGTATCCAAATAACAGCAGCTGGTTTGTAGCTCTGCCTGTAGAGGGAGGTAGAGAACTTGCTATTTATCAGTCGTTGTGTTAATGCAGATCCAACTCAAAGTGAGCTACAGCCAGTGGAGGAGATTTAATTGGTGAAATAAGATTGAACATAAAACCTGGCTGTTTATAACTGGATGCTGCTGCTTTATTGACAACCAACAGAGCCATCTGTGCAGTGTTTTTTGACACAACACCAACACACACAAACTGGGTGGCGTGTCGCTCAGTGTGAGACAGATGGTATACACGAAATCCTTTAAGCTTTGAAACCAGTACAGATTGGTTGATGCCACGTTTGCACCCAGTTGTGAATGAGTCATTATCAACATATAGAATTCATTATTTACTGATGTTAAAATTTTAAAAAGTAATAATTAAACCTAATATTTTTGACAATATGCTGTGTGTAGCATTCAAGCTAATTTTCATAAATTAAATCTGATATATATATATTTTTTTTAAATGTCTGTGGGGCTTTTTTACAGTATCATCATTCGACACGCCAGTCAACACATCATTACTTTTCAGGTTGCCCCCGACCCGTCAGAGTATCCCACATTTAAGTGAATCATGTATTGCTCCTGTCAGGCAGGTGTTTGGCTGATAGCCCACACATCACTCCAATCAGTGTGATAGATCCTGTGAACCTCCTTTTTTCTCCTCTTCAAAAGAGAACGCTATACCACTCCAATAAATCCTGACCTTCATCTTGAGCTTTATTGAGCTCAATCTTCATTTACATTTCAGAGCTCTGGTGTTTCTTTTATCCAGAGTGATGGCAATGTCGGGTACTAAAAGATTGCATCCCACACATTGAAATGTGAAGTATATAAGAAGGAAATTAGCATTTGAGGTATTTTGCTAATAGTCATTGTATGTGGATTAAGGCAATCATTAGGTGATATGTTCAGTCAATCTTCATGCCAGACCAAATTGTCACAAAGTGTTTTCTTTAGAATTTTCATTCTTGCATCAAACAACCTCTAAAATAGCATTGAAACCTAAAAAGGATAATTAATAGAGAAAGTAAATTAATTTTGGGTGAAATTGACCCAACACTCTAATGAAACATTTTCAAGATTCAAATCGTACAAGAGTGTACTTACGAACAATTCGGTTCCTCGCATTGAGCTGGGAGGTGTTGCGAAGGCCACCGTAGGGATGGAGATGTGCAAGGCGGGCCAGCCCCAGCCGAGTGTGTGTGTGTGTGAGGGGGAGGGCAATGCTGTGTGAGCGGACCTCTGGGACCGCAGGCCTCCCTTTAGCATCAGGATCCAGGGGGTCTGGAGTCTGAGGGGAGCTGTCCATCCTGGTGGCTGTGAGGGCGTTCTGGTAGTGGTTCCTGGTGATCTGTGGGGAACAAAAATCTAGTATTAGCTTCAGTGGCGGGAGGAAACATGGACTGTAATGCAGAAAGGGGAGGAGAGGTGAAACGAGAGGGCATAACCACCATTTAGGGCTAACATATTCATGGTTGAAAAGGAGCTCAATTATCCCCAGTGATTAAAGGAGAGAGGGTGTGTGGAGGGGCAAGCGAGAGACAGGATGTCTGTGTTCAGTCAGAATCAGGGATTAGGACATTTCAAAGGCACACACTGCATCAGAGGAAGAGTTTCTGGGTTAAAAGTGCAGTTCCTTGCTGTGCAGGAAATGATACATTTGATTGAGATTATAATACCAGCAATTGATGATTTTTTTTGTTTCTGTTTTGTGTGCGTGTAGCTGTTCATGTTTGTAACCTTGATGATCTGCAGGTCTGTTAGCTGTCGGACTGAGTAGTCTGGCAAGTAGACCCCCCCTCCTGTAGTGAGCTGACCCGCACTGCCTCCACTCAGCAGTGATTCTGAGTGGTTCAGACCACTGCCCCGGGAACTATGTCTCCGACCTGAAAAGGACAAGAGGGAACCATGCTTTTAGTTATGCGTTTCAAACATACGTCCTCGCTATTACAGTAGGTTAAAAAAAAACAGTGAGGTCAAAGGGTACAAAAACAGTTAACAAGCCAAAAATCCTATAAATCCTGCTTCATTCATTATCTATAGTCTTTTTTTCTTTATATACTTTAAGGTGCCTTTTTTTGACTGGGCTTAATGTTTACTTTTAAATACCGCTATAAGAAAGCAGGGGAAATGTTGGCAGCAACTAAAGACCTCCAAAGAAAACATATTTCAAAAGATGATGTGTGGTGTGAGACATAAAAGTACTTTGTGTGCAGTTGTGACAGGTCCTTTTTATTTGCTTATATTATTCTCTTTGAACAGAGCACTGCCTAGCCGAGTGGCATAAAATGCTGTCAGAGAGCGAGAGAGAGAGCAAGTTTAAAAAAAGATTAAAGACCAGCTCTTTTGAGCTGCCATACTTCTTCAGCTGCATAAGAGAACATTTCAGCTTTGTAATGCCCTTGAAGGGAATTTTCTAAAATGTAATGGGGTCTTCCAAATTGCTTTAAGCTCACCCTGAACATCACACATGGAAAACATGCAAAACAACCACAGCAAGAAACAGAGGGAGAGCGATTGGGAGACAGGCTTTCTGCTGGCTCTGCAGTCTTAGCAGGATTTCATATAATCCTGTGCAGGTCATGTCCTTCCACTGGGAAATTCTCTGAAATCACTTCTTTTAATTACTTACTTCCCACGGCTGCTGCTGCTGCTGCTGCTGCTCTTGCAGTCTGACGCTATACAGATAAGAAGCTGGGTGGGATTTAAGACTGTAAAAACATGTCCAGCCCTGCATTAGTTCTATGATTATTATTCCTGAACTGTCATTACCACCAGTCTCATGGTAATATTGATCTGTATTGCTTGATTTGTACTTACCAATAGGCAGGGGCATGATGACTGCTGGCATGCCATAATGTGAAAAAGCTCCATTTTCAAAGTGAAGAGCCTCCTTTCCGATTTCTACCTCTACCCGTCCCTGTAAGATCCACACAACAATTGACATACATTAGCATGATGCTCATGGTAGGACATTGATTACTCATCTAATGGAGCCTCCCACACAGGAAATGAACACTGTAATTATAACATCCAGATACGGAGTGATTATTTCTGTGTTTCATAATTCTTCCGCAACATCTGTTAGTAGGAGGTTGTTGGCATTAGTATTATTATCTGGCATAGAGATGGTGATATTTACCTGCAGAACGAGGACAAAGTAGTCCACAGGTTTGTTTCTCGTGAAGAGGTAGTGTTGAGGAGCGTGTTTGTTCTTGGGGTTGAACTTGAGTTCCTGCACAACGCTGGGATGTTTGATGAGACGCAGCAAGATCTTGTCTGACAGGTGACATGGCCTAAAAGGCTCCACCTCTATAAGATAGATGCATACACACACACACACACACACACACACACACACACACACACACACACACACACACACACTTTATTGCCAGGTAGGTTTACACATACAAGGAATTTGCTTTGACAGCAGACAGATTGCAAATCCTTAGATGCACAGTATGCAGTTCAGATTTCACATTGTTTTATATACTCTATCAATAGATGAAATGAAATGTGTCACTCATTCACTCGTTAAGTTTGCCTAACACTGTAGTTATGCTTTGAAGTATACAGTATTCTTGCTGGCACTACAAGGAATTAGAAGCTACTTTAAGTTGCCCCTAACCTCATTAGTTGATGCCATTAAGAAACGCTACAAATATATTAGTTGGATTATCTATCCCCAGCTGCAGATTGCTTGATATTATCCAGCACTCATTGATGAATTGACTTATTCTTAGCAGACGCCAGAAGCAATAAATGCATTATATCGCATTAAATACATCGTAGCTGTAGCAGGAACAGCTGGTGCAATGAAGCCTGAGGTGCAAAGTCTGGAGAGTTGAGCTCCACTGTTCTAAATATACACACACATCATTATGCACACAGAAGAAAGGAGTATAGGAAGTGCATCCCTGACTGTTTTACACACTCTGCATGTAATTAAAATTGCAGCGCACATAAAAATGTCATGTTCAGAAGTTATTCTCCAGAATATTGAGTAGTAAACTTCAGTGAGTAAAATGAAAGCACCGATCTGATTAGAAATATAATGAAGGGAATTTGGCATTTGACTTCCTTTCTGTAGAGAGCCTTGCGAGCCAATTAAAGATGAGCGGATTAAAGAGATTATCTGTGGGACTGGGCCATTTACTCTCATTATTTAATTATGCAGCAGCGCGGAGCTGTGAGCAGCAGGGGAGACAACTTGGGATCAATAGTTTAATAAGAAGCAGGATAGGAGAGGGTGGAAAGGAAATGTCAATGTGCTTTAAAAGCTTAAATCCACCTTTTAATAACCCATCAAATGGTATTAGATAGTGCATTAGTTGTTGAAGCATTTTCATGCGATATTGCAGACAACACAGCTGAATAAATTCTGTCAGTGGTTGTGACAAACTGAGGGAAAATCTATTCAGTGTGGGAGCTGGAAATATAATTAAATGGATTCACAGCTAATGTAACAGTGACCCAGAGATTCACCATCAGCGTGTTTTATGCTTCATACGTACTAAACAGGTCTGTCTCATCCACAATCTCAGACTTGATGATCTCCTCTATGACGTCCTCCAGGGTGACGATGCCCATCACTTCATAGAAGGGGTCTCCTTCACCTTCGCTGTTCACCCTCTGCACCACGGACAGGTGGGACTTCCCTGCATTGGTCAAAAGAGAAACGGGGTGAGTTCAAATGTTTTCACAACGTGAGTTCAAACTAGCGGCTACTGGATAAAAAACAACACAAGCCTCCAACCGGATGTGGGCAGTCAAGAGGAAAATGAATACTAGAGCTGAGAGGCCATACATACGGGTAAATCTATTTTTAGTATTAAATTATTCCAATGTCAGGACTTCACTTGTGTTTGTGATTGTGAGACTAGAAGAAAGTGGGCTTTGGGGGATTATTCTGGAGACAGTTTGACAGTTTGGAAGACTTGGGCCCCTTACGTAAACACAGATTATGCAATCAGTCTGGGGATGCCTGTGTCTGCTGACTAAACTGCCCATGCCTCTTCCACCCCCTGTAAACACACAGCAATATACACACACGTTACACATCCATGAGCGGACCCAGCGCTCCCTCTCAGGCAGAGTTAGGCTGAACGTGACAAGCCTGCCAGATACAATGACACAGCTCGCCAACAGCATCTCCAGTCAACGAGTCAATAAAACGGATGTGACAAGAAGTTAAAGGTGCCATCACACTCCAACATCACCAGGAGAGAAGAACAAATTAACATGAACACGCCAACCATCACACTATTAGTTGTTGTATAAGATAATATAAAACTATTATAATGCTCAATGTATTTAACGTTTTCATCATGACCGTCACTGTCGCTATTCTTCTTACGTCAAATAAGTTATCTAACCGAGTGTATGACGTCACTACACAGATTTCAGCAATCTCCAACCTTACTTTGAACTAAATCAGTGGCTCATAGTAGACGGGACGATTTAGGTGGGATCACTGCCAGGGGATAAAATAGATCAAACGCTTTAATCCACTGCAACAAGACAAAAAAAAACCTGATTGACCGACATGCAGCCATCTCCAAACATGAAACTCTTGCTGAGATGACACGGATGTACTCAGGGCTAAGGTCAACTTGTCTGAAAAGCTCAGGTGAGTCAGTGAAGTGGATTTGCCATCAGCTGCTGATGTGCCTGGGCACTGCATTACATCATTCACATGTTACATAATACTCCAACAGAACGACACACACACATTCACCAGACTCACACACGCAGACACAATGCCCGTGGCTAGCATGGATGTCCCTTTTGCGAATGTTTCTGCTCCGGCAGTTTCCCAGGCTCCTCCAGTCTCTGTGTTGTTTGAGATCATGATGCTTAATATGTTAGCATACAATTATGTACTTGCTGTCTGGCATTCTGCAAACATTACACAAACAATACTATGTATTGAAATGATATTATTTATATTTATGCAGCTTTTTTTTATCATGTTTTGAACACATGCACACACAACAGTTTACGCATTAATTTAGCTGATGGCAACTACAATGGCTGCCTATGATTTGTTGTGTGTTCACCTACATTTATTTTGTGTATTGTTTAGCAAGGTAAATGGTTTCTATAGTCGATTTGTATGCAGTGGTAAAAAGTTCTCAATACATTTGCTAAAAGGCTGCTCTTAAATCAAATGTTGGGTACTACTACGCTTCTACTCCACTTCAGCTTGAATGAATGCCATTTGGTTGAAGACATTCTGTCCGGATAAAGATGTTCCCTTCAAAACATCTGATCAGCTTATCAAATGTAAAACATAGTGTTATTGATTAAGCTGCCAAACAGTGTACTAAGTAGTTACAATGAGCACCTTAACTACATCAATGCATTCGTATGTAATATCAAATTGCATTATACCGACAGGGGCCAATCTGCACTACTTTGATACTTAAATTACATTTTCTGGCTTATACTGACAATTCACAAAGTAGTACTTTGCTTTAAACATTGTTTTATGGCTTTATGGTTTTATTGTTTCAGTTATGTATTCTTCTTTCTCTGTCTCTCTATGCACCACTTATACCAGCGCAAATTCCTTTAAACCTTCTTGGTAATAAAACTGATTCTGATTCTTGCCTTGCTGTCGCTACTTTGCATTACCTGAATACTCTAAAATATTAAAATATTAATAGCAGATTTTGGGTTGCTCATAAAAGCATTGCTTGCCATATAAAGGTTAATATTTTACACTGTAGAGCACATTCGCAGTCATCCCTTACATTTCTTTCATTACTGCTGACATTTCCGTCCTTTCCTCTAACACGAACCTCACCCCAGCCCCCCACCCTCCTCAGTGGGATGCCCCCACTGCTCCCAGCCAGGCTTCCTGACAGCAGGAGCCTTTAATCCATGAGAGAAAAGTAGGAAGGAGTCAAGAGGGGTCAAAGAAAAGGTTGGAGATGAATTTTTCATGGTTGCTCGGCAGGTTTGGAAGGCGACGACCCACAGAGAGAAGGAAGCTTCAAAGTCACCGCGGGCTGACAGTTCGGAGCGCACAAACATTTTAAAGGTGAAGCCTGCTTTAACCTTTGAGCCTAACCTTATCTATAAATAACAGACAATATGGCAACACACAGGGTCAGGCAGGGGCCCATGGATCACTTGTGTCAGACTGAAGCTATCCTTCCTAATCCTGAGAAAAATAAAGCTGTAGACCTCCAAATAAGTGAGTGTAAGTAAGTAAGTAAGTAAGTGGCAATCTGATTTATGATCCTGCCAAAGTCACCACAGTGTCACCTTTCACTTTCTCATTTTACAACTGCTGCCTCTGCGCTCCAACCCACATCTATTGAGCTCTCTTTGTCAATGAAGCAGATTTACATCTTAATCCCCCCCCCCAACATAAGCCAATGTCAGTGAAGTCCTTACATAACAGCCGTCCCTGTAGCCTGTCATATGTCTCTATTTTACCTTGTGACAGCATCAGTGGGACAGTTTAAGCTATCTGCAGCAGGGCATCGGTACAGAATCATATTCAACGTTATCATCGAGACTGGATGAGGAAAGGTCGCACACTTGGTAAACGGATGCTATCAGCATGTGAGGGACTGCAATACTGTGAAAGCACTCGCTAAAGAGTCTTATCAGACAAAATATGTGTGAGTCAGAGGAATAGATATGATATTCATTGCCTCCATTGACCTTTGAGGAAGCTGGCCCATTTGCTTGATTCCTTTTTGAAATTAAAGTGTATATTTGATAACTGATACACATGGCATGGCATATAAAGAGGAAGCCAGCATGAGGGTGGGGGGGGGCAGATAAAGTTCAAAGTGATGTTGACATGGGGTAAACCACTTTCACTACATAAATTCTTAAGATAAAACCATTCTGGTCTTTGGCAGCCTCTAACTCCTGGCTGACCCAAACTCACTGTGTGACACTGTATCAGATTTCACATATGGCTCTCACTGCTCTGCGGATCAAAAGGATTCTCTGGCAGGCCCACTGTGAGCCAATGATGTGATGTAAACATTGACTTCTGCACTGAAAACATAGTATTTAAGTGCACACTCACTTCAAAAGACATCTAACTCCTAGGTGGCTGGAGGCAACCTTGAGACTGTTCCAAAACCAACATATGGCGCCTCACACACTCATAACTGACTGCTTGGCCAAAAGTTATAAGTTCTTGACATGTAAAAACAAAGGACACGCCTCCCTCCTGCAGAGCACTTCTGAGGCCTGACCTCTGAAATTATTTAAAGTGGAGTTACCTCTCTTAAATTCCTCCAGCATCACATCCAACTTGGTGTCATTGAACACGCTGTGCATGGGATGCTTGTAAAACTGAGTGATCGTTTTTAGGGGAGTGCAATCGTCAGGATCCACGAAGGCCAAGTCTTTCACAAACAGGATGTCCACTATGTTGGACTTGTCGTTCTCGTAGACCGGGATCCGGGTGAAGCCGCTCTGCATCACGTCCGACATGGTGCAGAAGTCCAGGACGGCGTCCGAAGACAGCATGTAGCAGTCAGAGAGTGGGGTCAGCACGTCCTCTACGGTTTTGTTCCTCAGCTCCAGGGCCCCCTGGATGATGTTCAGCTCCTCTTTAACCAGGTCGTGGTACGGATCTGTGACGCGCAGCATGGCCACCAACTTCTCCCTGGTGTAAAAGTTGCTGATCTCTTGGTGCAGCATGATGTCCAGGATCTTGGAGACTGGATATGCGATGGGGAAAAACACCAGCATCAGCAGGCGGGTCGCGCAGAGGGTCTTTGAGGCGATGGCGAGACTGTGCCTTGACGCCAGGGAGTGAGGTAAAATCTCTCCAAAGAAGAATATTCCCAAAGTGCATGAGGCTGTTGAGAGAGCAGTCAATCCTAAAATCTGGCACATCCACACCACAAAGCATGTATTTGTAAGCACGTTTCCCAACACCACGGTGCAAAGGATGTAGTTCCCATGTTTACGCACTGACTCTATCTTCCGTGCATATTTCTGCTCCTTCTCTGTGCCACTATTCTGCAGGACCCTCAGCTCCACGGGGTCCAGAGCCAGCATGCTGATGTTCAACCCGCTGCAGAGGGCAGACAGTCCTATCAAGAGCACCGAAACACCCGCCTGGAGCCAAACATCTGCCTCCGGAGGTCTCTCCACCACCGCCAACCAGAAGTCTTTGGTGGTGAAATGTTCCCATTTCACTCCATCAAATGCGCACATGGAGTAGTATTTGATGAGCTCGCCTCTGCGCAGGTCTTTAGCGAGCAGCTCTACCAAAACTGAGTTGTGACTTGATGTGGATCTGAAAGAGCCCAGCAACTCGATGTCTGAGCTCCGGGCATCCTCGTCCTCGCATGGATTCCCTGTGGACCTGTCCTTCTCCGTGTCCCCACTGTCCCCCCCTGCTTCCTCTATAAACGCGATCCACGGAGCGGCAGGTCTGCCACTGATGTTCAAGCGGTTGGGATGCTCCGTAGCAGGGGCTGCGGAGTAGTACACCCTCAGTATGAAGCGGGTCCCCTCGATCGCCCTCAGTATCCCATCCTGGACGGACAGCTCCCCGCTCTGGGTGTCCTCCGGCCGGACACCGAGCAGCGCTGCTGTGGGGGCCGGCAGAGAGGAGAGGGTAACGGTGAGGAAGAGTAGAGAGAGCCGGCGCGGATGCAGGATGCAGCCGAGAGCATCCGCAGCATCCGCAGCCATCATGCTGAATGAACTACAGAAGGACATGGGAGAACTGGGTCACGTGGTCTGCGGATGGGATACGAGCAGCTGGGTGGCCATATCCATGCAGAGGAGCATGGGCACGTTACGGGGAGAGAGATAGGAGTCCTTAAATATACACGACAAACCGTGACGTAGGCCTGTCTTATTTGCTTTCTGCTACTTTCTAAAAATAGACAGCAGGAAATGCCCAGCCATGTATAATTAATATAATACACACGAGACCCACAGTTGTAGAATCCGCTTCATAGACAAAAATACAACACATTTCCACAAATAGTAAGGCAACAATTAAACCATGATAAGGAAATTATTGAAGGCTCACCCAAATCTGTTTTTAGATGACGAGATATCGCAGTGTTTAAGGATCGATTTTGTTTTTTTACTGTTTTAGTGTGTCCACTAGATGGCAGTATTATCCCCTATTTCATTGCAGTCTATTCTGGAAGGTAACTGAAGCTTTCAGACTAATGTTAATACACGGGGTATTGTGCCTGGATTTATTTCATAGTCATAAAATATCGGTTTTGGCTTCGGAATCCTCATCACTTAGCTTGGTACAATAATCCCTCAACAGATTTTAAAGGGATACATTTTGAACCTGCACTTTTAAAATCACATACAACTTTGATATCCCAATGTATTATTCAAAGATATGAATAGGACTGCCATGGGTGAAGCGGGGTTGTTAATATTAAGAAAAGAAAATAAGTGGAAAAGATTTAGGAGATTTGGTTATTTATCACACATTGATGAGCTGCTATTGAAGCCATGGATGACCACAGCCTGCAGGATTTACGAGTTAGGAAACTGAAGGTGAGAACAGAGCGCTGCCACGTCTTAAACACTTACACGCTCTCCCTGCTCTCCATCAGCCACACATCCACCGTAACATCAGGAGAAAACAGGCTTTGCCCACTAGAACAAAAACATTACGGCTACTTTAAACCCGTCTTTTCTGCACTTCTCATCTAAATGCAAAACAATTACCTAGGCCTACGTAACACTATATTCCAATGTAAACATTTCAGCTAACTTTCAGGCAGAATCCTGTACGTTAGTTAATTATTTGTTTATCAAAACTATTTGAAAACTTGGCCACAGAATGTATTCTTTATAAATTAATAAAAGGTTCGTTTTCTCTTGTGAGCTATTTAAAATGTTGACAATGGCAGATATTATATGTTGAGCATTGTAATAACAAAAAGAGGCATGCCAAATACAATTTTAAAAATACAATAGCAAAATTCTCTGTGAAAATAACAAATTAGCCTACCACTATACGCGTGGGTCCTCTTAACCCAAAATCAAAGTCTAATCCAATTTTTTTTTTTAAATAAATGTAATCAAAAGAAACAATGACCTTTTTGTCTGGGCAAAAGGTTTTGAAGTTTATATAAAATAGAACCAAATGGGGCAAAAGCTCCCCTTCAGATCGACTAATACTATATGTTTTGCCTATAACTGCAAATCCACTTTCTAATACAAGCTCCTAATTTAGCTTTCCAAATAACTGGTTTGGGCCATTGGGGTTAGACGTGTTTTCCAACTGAACATGTCTGATAGACGGTTTTCGTTCAATAAAATGTAATTCAAAACAGTAAGCCACGTTCACAACGATTTATCCCTTATCTTATCTTATATTTTCTGTTTTATAAGTTATTTTCGATCTGATCCTCAGATCTATCCAAATAATAATTAAAAATAATGTGTGTGTGTGTGTGTGTGTGTGTGTGTGTGTGTGTGTGTGTGTGTGTGTGTGTGTGTGTGTGTGTGTGTGTGTGTGTGTGTGTGTGTGTGTGTGTGTGTGTGTTTGTGTGTGTTGGTCTGTACGTGTGTGGATGTGTTGTTTGAGGGTGACCTGAAAGATGATTTATTTTTGGTGTTCTGCTAATTGTAAGGATCCTGATTAAGGAGCGTAAAATGAAAAATGTTCGTGTGAACGGGCAATCTAGCTTAATATGATCTTAATGGCCTTTCAATCCTATAATTATATTGATGTTTTGTTAGGGTGAAGTTTCTTAATCTTTAATTGTCTTAGAAAAACATCCCAAAAACTATCAGTCACATGCCAGATGTGTCCAGTTTCATATTTAAGATCTTATTCAGGAACGCGTATAGCCTAGATTTAGTAAAGCACCTTTCCATTAAAATGATAATTGAAAAAAACGGATTATATTGAAACCACATGTTTACTATGAATAATAGCTGAAAAGACAACATGAGGCAGCAGTTCATGATCTGCCTTGCATATCTGTGAATAGGACGGATTAAGCAGAAACTGTCAGACTTAATGCCCGTTTCATCTAGTGTTTATGAAGTGTATCTGGCACTCAAAAGTCACCCACTGAACATTGGCCATTAGTTGAAGTATTTAAAGACACGTTTTGCAGAGGCGTCATTACAAAGCGAAGACTGGATTCTTTTAAAGCGTTTAATGGGAACCTTCGTGCGTAAACGCGAAACATTAACACCTTGGATAATTTTGCGGTTTATTGTGTTCGTGAGTAGGTCCTGTAGGCCGGGATGGAAAGATTAAATCGGCCTTTGCTCGGTACATTCTCTTCTCATACGTTCGCTGTTCATCTGTTACACAGCAGTGACCTTACACGACCACTTCTCGCTATGCTGACTGCCCTGGAGAAATCACAATAGACTTAACTTTATTTGGGTTTTCTCTCTGGCAAGTGCCCCAAAAACATCTGGATCAGTCATTAAAAGAGTTTATAGGTGAGTTCCATGTGTAGAAACTTAAATCCTAAATTAGTTTTGAATGTTTTTGAAGAGGGTCCAATCTGTTCATGTTGCCATCTCCAAATGTTGTTGGTCTCAAAAATGTGCAATCAATCGGTTGTTTGTCAAAACAATGTAAGCACCTACATACCCAGGAACACGAGAGATCATTTGAAAAGATTGCGTCTTCTCTCTTTTTTATAACATGCCTTCTTTTGTTCTCTTGAAGTGTCTTGGCCGGAGACAGTTGTGGGCCTACAGCAATATTCTGTTGGATTATTTAATTTTTAACGTGTCTGCACATTGGGCCACAGCAACCTTGAGTCATTATTCACTTCCTTATATGATGTACATTTGAGTTTATACCAACAAAATGAATATGAACTGGTTATGAGTTTATTATGTGAGTTTCACCATGAGCTACTTCACGGATTGGCCTTTGCACAGCCTGTAATTGTATATGAAATATGTCATCATAATGACCTAAAAACATAATTGTTGCAGTTACTTGTGGACTGAGCACACACACTATATTTCACTCTGTTGGATTCAACTTTTTTTCAAACCTATATTCCGATCGTTGTAATATTTACACATTTAAACAGATTTAAGAGCGAGATTTATGCATTTTAGCAGGAAGACTGCATTGCGTCATCACATTTTAAGAGAAGCGCTTTTTTACTAGTTTGTACTCATACCTCTGAGAACCTTGGAGGGGCGGTGCTGCCTCCTCTCCTCCTCCCAGCCTCTGGCTCTTCTAACCGGGAAGGCTGGCTCGGGGCGTGCGCTCTGGTGAGCAGCTCCCAAAAAGACTCAGAGGGGGTGAGACAACTAGACAGGAAGACCCATCCAGATAGATGGGAGCGAGGTAAAGAATAACCATCGAACTTAGCGACACAATTTGTTCTTTTTTTTGTCTTCACACCAATTGAGCCTCATTACGCGCACTGATCCTCCTGCTCTCCAAATCAAAAAGATGCCCAAATCCTCATCGTGCGCATTCCCATGGTCCTCCCTGTGGCTGGCATCTTTGGCTACTTTGGTTGTGCAGTCGGTGCTCTCTTCCTCCTACTCTTCCTCCTCTACATATCAGAGATCTGCAGCCGATGGGAAGCGACCCGGCTTCATGGAGAGGACGCTGGTTCTCTTGGATGTCAACACCCGCAGTCCGATCAGAGTCCTCAACGACAACTTCCTTTCTTTGCAGCTGGACCCCTCGATCATCAAGGACGGGTGGCTGGACTTTCTAAGGTACCAAGAGTTTTCCTGTTTACCAACAGCATCGATCTGAATCTGTGTCGACATTAAATGTTTGGTTGTTCTTTTATTCATTAGGCAGCCACGTTGTCTGAATTGTCATATAGTGAGCCAGCACGTTTCTCACTACCTCAGGGTACTGAGTGGTCTAACATAACTGAACGATTACAACGACTGAAAAGGTCAAAACCTATACCATAAATAAATAATGAAATGTTGAGTCAACGATTGGTTCAAAGACTATCGATTCCGACGTTATTGCTGTTATATAAACGATATGTTGATAATTTCATACACAAATGTTTGTCCTTAACCCATAGTCCATGCACAATGTCAAGTCATTAAAATTGTTTTTTGAAGTTCTATTATTTTCTACAACAACCTCTCCATTGTTATGCCATCCATGTTGTTCATGTTTCACCTTAAAGCATTACTCACCCTCAGAGACGCAAATTATAAGACTGTACGTTTTGGCCATGGATCATAGATCATGACATTTTAAAATTCAAAACTTGGAAAAATATCTCACTAGAAAATGACTTTTAAATGACAAGATTAACTCATCATGTGCTGGATTTGATTTCAGTAAAATATTCTTGAGTATCATTGTTTTTTTCAGCTTCTACTTTATTGTTAAAGATAAATAAGATTTGCTCAAGATTTGATATACAAATTATTTAATTAATAATGTGCATTTTATGACTAAAAGACAGGTAAGCATGTTGTACCATGTGTGCCTGTTATTCGTCCTATGTGTGTTTTCCCCCCATAATATAATAATATAAAATATATATTTTAAAGGAATCTGTACATTTTTCTTTTCAATTTCAGTAGGATCATCAAAACTGTATATTCATCCTTTCTCTTTGTTACATAGCCTCCTATAGGTTATAACTTGGTTCAATATTTTTTTTTTTGCTCATTCCTTTTATAACAATATTGAATCAGTGAATCTTCATTAACCAGACATTGTATAGCCAGAAAAGTAGATAAGATTTGAATAACCCAAC